TACTCTATGACCATATATGTTTTGAACTGCTGAAATTGACCCAGTAGGTTAAACTGAACCAAAGGGCGTTTTTTATTTTCAAAAAGTTGTCGTTCATTTAAAAAAAAAAAAACATAAAGCAGATCATAGACAAACAATATGTTTGTGAACACAAACTATGCATCTGTTAAGAGTAGTCATCTACATTTTCTCTTCCCCTCTTCTTACCCTATATTTTCTATCCAAATCTTCCCTTTTTTTTAATTTATTACAGACTTCAAAGATTGGTGTTATTACATATGTTTGGACTAAGCTATTAGGTAGAATGCAGTCAGACAGTAAAATACACAACAATTAAACAATAAAACATAAAACGTTAAACCGCCACCTTAGAAGGTCATAAGGAAGAGACAAGAAGAAAATTTTCATATGTTTTCCTTTTGCATCTCTAGACATTGATCATTTTTTCCTATCCAGAATTCCCAATCCTCTATGCATTTATTCCTTCAACTTTCAAAACGAGCTCTTCCCCTTTCTCTCTTACACTGTTCTAGAGTTTGCTCTAGTACTTTACATATTATTAATGGGGGGTTGGCTTTCCAAATTCTGGCTATATCAGCAGCTATTAACAAATATATTATAACTTTATCCTAATCCATAACTGGTCACCCTAAATGGAGTATGGCTACATCTGGTCGGTTATGTAACTCAATCGCTGTAAAATTTTTAATTAGGTGGAAAAATCTCTCCAAAAGGACACAATAAATGGACAGTTCCACCATTTATGCATTTAACTACCATGTGGACCTCCACACTTCCAGCAATTATTCCGTTCCCCTGGATAGATCTTTGCCATTCTGCTTGGTTCCAAATGCCATCTATTAATTATTTTGAAATATAATTCTGTAAGTTTAAACAAATGGTCGCTTTATAGGACCCTGAGACCGCTAAGCCAATCATTCAGGTCTTTATTTATGGTCAAATCGTGCTCCCATTTTTTATAGCCGTAGGTGAATATGGACCTTGTAAATCCCTAATGGAAACTTTTTGAGTTAGGGTTCTATTGTCTCTTTGGCTAAATCATTCTTCCAACTTTTCTTTAAGCTGGCATTCATCCATTAAATATCATGAAAGGAAGGATTTTCCTCTAATATACAGAGTGCATTGTTACCCAGGATGTATACATTTGCATTACCTTTTGATTAACTGCATTGACTTAGGTCAGATAAGCAGTGCTTCTGAATGAAGACTTGGATGGCTCCCAACTCAGGGTAAGGATAAGTCAGAATATCTACCAAAAAAAGAGTTTAATTTTATGTGTTCATTACATGTTTACACATAGAGCCTATAATACATATAATATTTTATTTTAAATAAAAAATTAAGTCTATCCCCAATATCCTCGTATTAGAAATCCATAACTAAACACCTACTAGATGCTTCCAAAACCCTAAAGCCCATCATGTGCGAACAATTGTGGGCGCCAGGGTGGAGGAAATATATTGTATGGAATCAATGACCCAAGCCCTTAAGGATCACTCTGACAAACATATCCTTAACTGCACTCATGGTTGTAACAGGTCTCCCGTTTCAAGGCAACAACCTAAATGACATTCACTAGAAGAACTGAGGTCCTGCTACACTACCTAGATTTAGACTTAGACATACCCATTGATACACTTCCATCCATGACCCCCTCCCCCCCAAATTTATTTATTTTATTTTATTGATTATTTATTTATTTTTTCCCTTCATCTCACCCTATAACCCACATGCCCCTCTCGTTTGTGGAACTTACCACTAAGCCAAAAGCCTTGTTAGTTTTTCATGCCTATATTGGGCTCTTACCCAGCCTACTCACTCACCGACTAAGTGTTGCAAGTATATATGAACGTGATTTTCTGAAGCTGTCCATTCCTTCCTAGTCCGACCCACCTTTCCTACCCCACACCCCTCCTGCCAACTTTAACCCATGGAACGTACCACAGAGTTACAAATCTAACTACTCTATCACGCCCCACATTGGGTACTCTTACCCAGTTTGCCTACTACCTAACTTATCGACTAACTATGGCGAATGATTATATGCATACTTTCCTCAATATTTTCATTGCCTACTGATTTAAGACTAAACCCGTACTGTCATGCTTGATTGATTATTGTGTCAACTCTTGCCAACTCATATGTCATTATATACAACTTAAATAAAGATTGTCAAAAGAAAATAAATTAAGTCAGTTTTTAAGTGAATTACTCCCTTTTTTTTTTTATTTCCCTAAGATTAAAGGGTAATCCAGACGTGGGCCCCTTGCACATGATGCCTAGAGGGACATTGGCTATACCTCACTGATTATGCCTAACAAGGTTGAAACGATCATCTGGTGTTGGTTTATCTCTCGTGAGAGCTGGTCTGCATTTCAGTTCTGGACTGCCTTTCTGGGTGCGATCAGTCTGATATGCAAATGGTCCTAGTTCTTTTTGTAGTGTCACAAGATGAGCTAAAACTAGCTTGAGATCAGAGAGGGGACCCACCGAAGTGTAGGCTGAGTTGTTGTCCATTCTCAGTACTCTCTTGCACCTTGTTTTTTTGCTCTTTTACGAATGTATGTAACCGTTCTCGCAGTTGTGCTTTCTTACTAGTATGCTATATTTATCACTCCAGCTCCAATCAAATACTTTAAAGAAAGATATTTTCTACTTTTTATTGCCATGTCACAGTTCCAATGATAGCAAAGTCAATTGGTTACCACAACTGGTAAGGTATATAGAGTGCTTTATTCAATACTATTGGGAATTGTGGGGAACTGATAAGGGATGTTTTATGCCAAAATAGAAAACAAACTCTGCTATTTTTTCACATTGTCATAGTGTCATTTCTGTTAATTTCTGTATTAATTGTATTGTGCAAATCCATCATGTCTACACAATTCCTGGTTAAGTCGATAAATGTCAATGTTTTTTTGTTGGTTTATCAATGAGTGATTGTTTGGGGGAGGGTTGCTGGTTTTCTGAGGAATTTCTCGGTCAACTCAAGTCAAATGTGCAAGTTATGGCTGTAAATGTATTTAAAACAATGTAGAAGATGGTATAATAAAATAATGCAACCAGGAAAATATGGCCTTGCAGATAGGAATTAGGGTGTTCTAAGAACCAAAGATAGCTTAGGTAAATCGAAAGTATCATGTGTAAAGTGTGTTACAGTACTACAGACCTGTTTTATGATTATAAAGATGTTAACATTGTGTTGAAGTGCTTTAAGTATTAGTGAGATATGTTACCATTCTACTCAAGTGTTTTAAGTATTTCTAAAATGTTACCTCACTGAAAACGAAAAGACACAGTTTATTGTATGGTTATGGTGCAAGGAGGTTTTAGGAGAAATCAGTCTTTCTGTATTTTGTAAAACTGTTTTCCAGTGTGTTGGTGTCCCTTCAGCACTCAAAGCCGACCCCTTTGCTGCTGCTGTGATAATGAGGATATTTTACTTCCTCTTTATCCATACAAGCTTGTATGTTAATGAGAGGCTGTCGGTGCTAGGAACAGATGTTCCCTGCTATAGCCTAGCACTCACAGTCTAACATTGCACATCATGGGCATTCAATTGTGTCATGTGAAAAAATTTATGTAGATAATGAAGGTATTGAGCGTCTTTATTATCACGATGGAAGAAGAGGAGCTAGGCTCTGTGCGCTGGGGAGAACTCTGTTTTTGTTACAGAAAACTTTGAGACCAAACCCCCTTGGGCCAAAACCACTTCAATAAGCTTAAGGTACTTGGAGTGTCCCTTTAAACATTATTAAACTCTGTCAACGCTTTAACTATCCTTTATACACTTACTGAAGTCTCCAAGCAGTGTTATTTCTGTGTCTAAATAGAATACATATATGTATATACAAAAAAAAAAAACACGCACTCCAGGGACTTAATATTACAAAATATAAAACTTAGCTTTTATTTACATGAGCCAATAAAATGTTGGTGTTTCTGCTACCCATGGATAGCTTTCATCAGGACACCAATGATAAAAGCTATAAGTTGGGAGCTGGAACGCAGACATTTTGTTGGATCGTGTAAATAAAAGCTAAGTTTTATATTTATGCTGCACTCATACAGCTTGGCTCTTTCCTCTGCAAAAGTAAATTACATTAAAACCTTCATAACCACACTCTCCCGCGAACCTAAACAACTATTTCACACATTTAATTCTCTTCTTCACCCTATTGTTCCTCCTCCACCTACTAACTTGACCACCTCAAACTTTGCAACTAACTTCACTGACAAAATCTCAACAATCAAGGAAGAGACCTCTCAACTTTCTTCTTCCCCTTACAATACTTCCCCTAACCTCACTCCCTCTGCTGTTCTATGTTCATTTGCACCCGCTACAGCGGAAGAGGTTTCTGCTCTGCTCTGCTCCAGTCCTCCCGCCCCACAACCTGCTCCCTAGATCCAATTCCCTCACATTTCATCCGTACTCTGTCTTCTTCTCTTACTAAAATTCTCAATCTCTCTCTCCTCTGGCATATTTAAATCGCCCTTCGAACATGCAACTGTAACCCCAATTCTAAAGAAGCCCAAACTTGAAAGATTGGAAGTTAGCAAATGTTGGGACCATTCACAAGAAAGGTAATAGGGAGGAGTCGGGCAACTATAGGCCAGTAAGCCTTACTTCGGTAGTGGGGAAGGTAATGGAAACCATGTTAAAGGATAGGATTGTTGAACATCTAAAAACACATGGATTTCAAGATCAGAGACAACATGGGTTTACTTCAGGGAGATCATGCCAAACTAATCTTATTGATTTGTTTGATTGGGTAACTAAAATAATAGATCAGGGAAGGTGCAGTAGATATTGATTACTTAGATTTCAGTAAGGCTTTTGACACTGTTGCACATATATTGTTGAATGGGTAAGGCAGTGGCTAAGTGACAGACAACAGAGGGTTGTAGTCAATGTAATATTTTCTAAGCATGGTCTTGTCAACAGTGGGGTACCTCAGGGATCTGTACTTGGACCCATTCTCTTTAATATTTTTATTAGTGATATTGCAGAAGGTCTTGATGGTAAGGTATGTCTTTTTGCTGATGATACTAAGATATGTAACAGGGTTGATGTTCCAGAAGGGATAAGCCAAATGGCACATGATTTAGGTAAACAGAAAAATGGTCAGATTGTGGCAACTGACATTTAATGTGGATAAGTGCAAGATAATGCAGTTTGGACATAAAAACCCAAGGGCAGAGTACAGAATATTTGATAGAGTCCTAACCTCAACATCTGAGGAAAGGGATTTAGGGGTGATTATTTCTGATGACTTAAAGGTAGGCAGACAATGTAATAGAGCAGCAGGAAATGCTAGAAGAAAGCTTGGTTGTATAGGTAGAGGTATTATCAGTAGAAAGAGGGAAGTGCTCATGCCATTGTACAGAACACTGGTGAGACCTCACATGGAGTATTGTACGCAGTACTGGAGACCGTATCCCCAGAAGGATATTGATACTTTAGAGAGAGTTCAGAGAAGGGCTACTAATCTGATTCATGGATTGCAGGATAAAACTTACAGGGAAAGGTTAAAGGATCTTAACATGTATAGCTTGAAAGAAAGACGAGAAACATTTAAATACATAAATGTAAAGGAGGAGACTATATTTAAAGGAGGAAAAACTACCACAACAAGTGGACATAGTCTTAAATTAGAGGGGCAAAGGTTTAAAAATAATATCAGGAAGTATTACTTTACTGAGAGGGTAGTGGATGCATGGAATAGCCTTCCAGATGAAGTGGTAGAGGTTAACACAGTAAAGGAGTTTAAGCATGTGTTGGATGGGCATAAGCTATCCTAACTATACGATAAGGCCAGGGACTAATGAAAGTATTTAGAAAATTGGGCAGACTAGATGGGCTGAATGGTTCTTATCTGCCGTCACATTCTATGTTTCTATGTTTATAACTCCCCGTCAAACTACTGTCCTATCTCGCTACTGCCGTTTGCGTCCAAGATCCTTGAAAGAGTTGTGTATGCGAGATTGACAGACTTCCTCGAGTCCAACTCTCTGCTAGACCCGCTTCAGTCTGGTTTCCGCGCTAAGCACTTTGTGGAAACGACACTGACCAAAGTATCCAATGATCTAGACGCTGCAAAATCTTGTGGTCACTACTCTATTCTAATTCTCCTTGACCTTTCTGCGGCTTTTGACACTGTTGATCATCAACAGATTCTTCTCATCCTCCGCAATATCGTTCTACAAGATATTGCTCTCTCCTGGTGCTCCTCCTACCTCTCCCTGTGCTCTTTCAGTGTTTCTTTCTCTGGCTCTGCTTCTTCTCCCCAACTCCTCTCTGTTGGTGTCCCCCAAAGTACTGTTCTCCATCTATACTGCCTCCCTTGGTAAACTCATTAGCTCCTTTGGCTTTCAATATCATTTCTATATGGATGACACACAAATCTATCTGTCCTCTCCTGATCTCTCCCCGTCCCTCTTGACTAGTGTATCTGACTGCCCCTCTGCTATTTCTAACTGGATGGCTGCCCACTTCCTTAAACTCATTGTGACCAAAACTGAAATTCTGGTCTTTCCTCCCTCCTGTATCTGTCTCCCTCAAAATCAACGGTGCTACCATCAGCTCTAACATGCAGGCTTGCTGCGTAGGTGTTCTCTTTGACTCCAACCTCTCCTTCACGCCTCATGTTCAGTCTATCGCCAAATCCTGCTGCTTCCATCTAAAAAACATTGCGTGCATCCAACCCTACTTAACGCCATATGCGACTAAGGTGCTGGTCCATTCCACTGTCCTTTCTCGCTTTGACTACTGTAATCCGCTACTCAGTGGTCTTACGTGCTCCCAACTTGTGCCGCTAAGTCCATAATGAAAGCGGCGACGAGGCTCATCTTCCTGTCCGCCCGCACCTCCCATGCCTCACCCTTCTGTCAGTCCCTACATTGGCTTCCTGGAAGACATAGGGCTCAATTTAAAATTCTAGTTCTTGCTTTCAAATTTCGACATAATGCTGCTCCCACCTATCTATCCTCCCTAATACACAAGTATGTCCCGTCTAGGCCCTTATGCTCTGCTGAAGACTTGCGTCTATCTTCTGTCCGTACTCCCACCTCTGATGCTCGCCTTCAAGATTTTTCGAGGGCTGCACTGTTTCTGTGGAACTCACTTCCCTTCTCCGTTGGATGCTCACCCAGCCTCCACTACTTCAAAAATCATTAAAAACCCACTTCTTCATAAAAGTGTATCAATTAAACTGTTAATAGCTCCCGACTGATTCCTCTATGGCAACTGTCACTAGTCTAATACTATCCTTACCTTTTGTGTCACTTTACCCCACTCCCTCTAGCATGTAAGCTCATTGAGCAGGGCCCTCAACCCCTCTGTTCCTGTGTGTCCAGCTTGTCTGGTTACAACTACATGTTTGTTCGTCCACCCACTGTAAAGCGCTTCAGAATGTGTTGGCGCTATCAAAATAATAACATAATAATAATATTTTGTAATATTAAGTCCCTGGAATGCACTTTTTCCTTGTTTTGTTTTGTACAATTTTTGCCAAGCCTGCACCAGGCTTTATTGCTTATAACCAGGATTGCAAGTTTTGGGATTTTATCTATCTATCTATCTATCTATCTATCTATATATATATATATGTGTGTGTGTGTGTGTGTGTATATAAACATATTTCAAGATAACAAGACAAATCCACACCTTGTCTGGTTTTCTATTTATACATATGGCACAAACAAAGAAACGTTTCCTATGGGGAAAAATTGCAGTTGGTCTAAAAATAATGCATCACTTTGATTGTAAAGTAACTTTCATGAACATAGAATATCACAAAACCAGATTATTGTGAGGGTTGCTATGTCAATAAATGGTTATAGTAGGTACAAAAAGATATTCTGAACAATACTGGCTGCTCTGTTATGAGATCAGTTGATAACGAACTAAGACCATCATTATTATTATTATTTTTTGCAAGAAAATACTTTTATCAAGACCACTTGATAAAAATCCTCTATTAAGGCAGAAGGTCCTGCTGTAGGTGAACGATAAGCAATAGATCGGGATAATATGTCAAAGGGGGTCAATGTGTGGCCACGACAGACCACTGACTTTCACCAGAACTTTGAAGATATGTAATGTAAGCTAAGAAGAAAACAATCTCATGTGAATAGAATAAAACACAACATTCCATTGATTAATAACTATGTTTTATTTATAACTTACAAGGAGACTGTCTAATGCCATAGAGTGTACCTTGTTTCAGAACGTATTAATAGGTTAACAAAGAAAAAGCCCATTGCATCAGGGAACCCCACCTTACAAAGGCTCGTCTCACAAACTGGTCTGACAGGGTAAGTTCCGTAACAGCCTGCCAGCATAAAGTTGAAAGGAGAGAACAGAGCGGGGGCGTAAAGTCCGTTGAAGGCTAGATGGTGACGTCAACTTTACCAGTTCCTGATTCCTGCAGTGCCCTGTATGTAATGTGATGTGACAAGTTACATAACTAAACAAGGTGTCTCTGTGGCAGTTGTAATATGAGAGTACTGCACAAACTTAAAGTGGTAGTGCCAGTAAAACTTTCTTAAAGGAACACTACAGTGTTACAGGAGTACAAAGTTGTATTCTGTCTCTGCCCCTCTTTCCTCTCGTGTCTCTCCCCCACCCCCCACCCTCACATCTCTGAAAGGGGTAAATAACATTTTCTTTCATTCACTAACCTGATTCAAGTGCTGAGGTCCCTTGGTGCTGGCTTAATCTCTACCTTTTCTGACATCAGCGCCAAGGGGGAACCTAATAAGCATGCGCGGCAAGCACTCCTTTACCATAGGAAAGCATAGTCAGAATTTGAGGACGCTGGATGTCCTCAGGCAGAGCATCAGACTTCATGAAAGAGCAGGAATTGACTCTAGTGGCTCTAAAGGCAGTCTTAGCACTGCAATGTAAACATAGTAGTTTCTCTGCTGAGGGGGACAATGAAATGAAGTGGTTTGGCTGCCTATAGTGTCCCTTTAATCAGTTTAAAGAAATACCTGGAGAAATTAGCATTCAATTATCTAACAAAGATTAGTTTGAACTAAGTTGATCTGTCATTACAACTTGAAGCAATGACAGCGATTTTGTGTGATTGTGGTCAATTTTCAGTCCCTCATTGTTAGTTGTTAACAATGTAAGTGTTTTTAGTTACTTTTCTTACCAGCTTTAAAGAGGTGTTTGGCATTGGGGCTTCGAGGGAAGAGAATGAAGATGGAAGAAAGTAAATTTCCTTGGCAAGTGCGATGACCGAAACACGCATTTATAGTGCTAAATGTCAGATTATGTGCGAGAATTCCTCTATCTATAGTCAAATAAATGGGAACACCTTTCAAAGTATAGTACTGGGATGGAATTGCCACTGCTACAAAACTGGGTTGTATTTTTTGCTACTATTTCATGTCTAGCTATAAAGGCCTGGTGTATACCATCCAACATAAGGTCCATTAAGATGAAAAGGTAGGGTGTATGAGATGTGTTTTAGAAGTAGAAGACAGAGCACAGACTCTAGGTTTGTATCAGGTTTTAGTATGGTGGAGGTCAAGATACAGAAACTGACAGCTAAGCAGAGTTTTGGAGGTTAAAGGAGAATCCACAGGGGTAGTCAGGTCAAGCAAAGGTTGGCTGAGGCGGCAAAGGTCCACAACAGATCAGATAGCTAAAAGGCAGAATAACCAGTTTAAGAGTCAACAGTAAGAATTCAGCTCTTTACAAAGCACAGGCATTTGTGAGCAATGATACAGTGTCTGGAGTGGCCTTATATAAGGATGTTTGGGGGACACCCCCTTCTGTGTTATACCAACATTATTCTTGTTTTTCCCACCCACCTCTGCTATATCTTTCTTTCTACTGTGCCCCACTTTAGCATCAACAGTAGATGCTGACTATATCAGCAGCAATTCAGCTACTGTGGAGGACAGCACCAGCACCCCACGGTTCTCTGGAGGGTGCCAACTGCTGAAGGGCCATCATGGAAAAAACTACCAGCACCACATGGCACCCAGGACAGTGTAAACTCCTGAATTGCTACAAGAAGAAGTGGATCAGAACAGCAAAACTAACCAAAAGTAAGTTCACTGAGTACTGAACGTAGGCAAAACATATTTACAGTAATAGAGGCATGACTGAGAGGCCAGAAGTTACTTAAAGTGACACTATATTCATCTCATTAAAGTGGTCTGGGTACAGTGTCCCTGCCCCCTGTAGTTCTGCAGTGTAAAACATTACAGTTTTAGAAAAACTGCAGTGATTGTCTTGCAGGACTAAGACTGCCTCTGGTGGCACTTCCTGGATGCTAGCAAACTCTAGTTCCCCTAAATAACATTGTACGTCATGCTCTGTGACATTCCCATAGGAGAACATTGAGGCAATGCTTTCCTATGGGGAGGGCCTAAAGCGCTCACAGCGCTCATCAGGCATGTGCATTAGTTTACCTTGTCGGATGACATCGGACTAGGCGGAGCACCTAGGCACATCGGCCCTGGAATTGGGTAAATAAATAAAGATTTGTTAAACAAACAAGGGAGGGAAGTGAAGGAAGGGGGACAATAGGTCACTGTAGTGTTAGGAATATATATTTGTATTCCTAACACTGTACAATCCCTTGGGAACATTAAACTTGAGACTGATCAACATTATTACGCTCAGGTTAGCATCTTCTAGTTAGCGCTACAGTATCAGTGCTATTTTAAGGTTGTGAAAATAATTTTATATGCAGTTATAGCTCAGCAAGTGCAGTCTATAACTATTTACGCAATAAACCATGTCTTAAATAGAACTCTTTTCATTTACAGGGATACATGATACGAAATTGTACTGCACCCACACCCCATAAAAATTGGAAATAAACCCAGTCCACCTGTCGTATACTTCTAAAGTTCCCCTATAGTAAGTAACAGATCTCTATATCCAGCTCTATAAAGCAGCATATTAGCAATAAAAGTCACAAAACACTATCATTATGTATACCTACAGACAAAATAACACCAAATAATAAATAATTATTTTATGTCAATAAACTACAACATAGCAATAAACAACACTACACTCCCATACATTAAACTCACCTTTAAAAAAAGAAAGTGAATTATTGTTTCCACTCAAGGATTATAGTCATGTTGACTCTGACACACCTCCAAATTCACAACCAAGAAGAGCACACAAGATCAGCAGGTTTAAAGTCAAGGATTTAAAGATATGGAACAAATAAAACAACACTGTATGGGTATTGTTTTTATGGAGCCCCTAATCCAAAATGCTTTATGGGGTCCTGCTATATGTCCTTCTCAAGTGTTAGTTAGGTTTTTAAAAAATACCCAGGGATTGAACCCACAACAAAATATAATGATATTCCTAGTCCACCTGTGATCTCATATATTTAAAACCCTAAGACATGAAGGATCGCCTCCTGACCCCTGAGTCAACCTCAGTGGGCCTGTACATTTACTGGCTTTTTTTTCTTTCCAGGATATCCCATGATCCTTAAAGCAAAATGAACTTATAAAATGAGCTGCACTCTTCTGGAATCTGATGAAGCCTCTCTCCGAATCTGAGAGTTACAGCCCCAAATGTTCCTATCACAACTGGGACTACCACTGCCTTTACTTTCCATGTTCTTTCTAGCTTCTCTTTCAGTCTATCCACCAACACTGCAGTCTTTCATTCCTTGACTTCCACTACGATGTCTGTTTGGATGGCCAGTACTTCCTTGTCTGGATCTGGAAATACCATGAGATCTTTGTCTTGTCATTCTCGACTATTTTCTGTGTCATCTCCTATCTGGACTGCTGATGGAACATCCCATGGTCTTGGTCTTGGCATGAAACCTCATCCTTCTCTGCATCTGTTGTTGTCTCAGTCATTCCATTAACAGAAATACAAAAAAAGCTCACTGTAATAATATAAGGCAACAGCAAGCCATACAAGGATTCCCAACACCTTGTAGAAAATACAGCAATATAACACAAAAAAATCCCCTGGCAGTTCATCTCCAGTAACCATTTTCATGATGTACTTGTTTGTTCTTTGTTTCATCCTGGCCCAACTTCCTCTCTTCCAGCTGATGTTCAATCTCTGGGCGCAGGAATCCTCCATTCAAGAGTACTTTCCAGGTCTTTATATCCATGGAGTCCAGGTCTTCTCTTGGCTGAGGTATTATTCCAACTGGGTACCAGGTGACTGGTTGAGCATGCGTGTGGATATTGTGGATCTTTACTTGACATTGAGCTTGAACATGATCTTTCTGACACTCCGAAGGGACTTGTGTTTATTCTTTGCCTCATCCTCAGGGTTGCCATGTGTTTGTGGTACTTGTAGCTGTTCTCTGTGTCACTTATGTGGCCTTCTGGCACTTTAACTGCTTCAATTCTGATTATCTTCCCTCTTTTTACAATTATCTTCCCACAATTATTTAGTCCAAATGACATTCCGATGTCCTTTCTCAAGTGGACGTGGTTGATGGTAGCTCCACCCTTGAACCTGTATCCATACCCACTCTTCATGATGATCTGGCTGAGGCTTACACAGAACAGAATTGGTGATAGCCTATCACCTTGGTTTGTGACACATTTGATGTTCACTTGTGTAATTGTCCTGAGTTCTAGAGTTGCCATCATGTTCTTGATGACGTGTCTTGTTGATCTTGTGCCAAGCTTGAGTATCCATGTGTGGCATGTGTAGTCAGTCCAGGATGAACAGACTGGTCTTGGAAATCCTCTTGACTGCTTGTTTAACAGCCATTCATGACCGTCTTTAAAGCGGGGCAAACAGGGCAGCTGCCCCAGCCCCAGTTAGTCCTGCAGGGCCCAAGGCAGCTGACCTGTGGGCCCCGCTGTGCACAAAAAAAACGTGCTATCTGCACCATGGGTCCACCGGTGCTGCTGCTGCACTGGGGAACCATACACTAAGGGGGCTCAGTCGGGCGCCATGACCCTTTAACAGTGCGACTGGGCCCCCTTGCTTTACGGCAGGAGGGTGGGAGGACGTGACTGCCGTGAGTCACTTCCTCTCAGATAGAGTGATGCCACATGGGAGGGAGGAGAAGGTCGTAAAGAGGGGGCTGAGCCTCTCACTCCCAACTACCTCAGAATGTCACTGGACCCCAGGGAAACTGCCCTCCTGAATAAGGTAGGAAACTGGAGGAAGGCTTTAAAATTTTAAAGTTTGCATGTGTGTTGTCGGGATCCCGCGGGCGGCTGCGAGGGGAGGCTGCACTCCGCTCGCGGTACTCACCCTCCAGCCATCCGCGGTCCCCTCCTTCTCGTGGGCTCGGCGAGCGGCATCCTTCCAGCCTCGGATGCCGCCCGCCGTTTCCTCCACGTCCCCCAGCGGCAGCATATATGACGCTGCACGCTGGGAGACCGCCCAAATTATTACACGCCGGGGTCAGTCACCTGACCCGGCGTTAAAGGCACAGTGCCTCAATCACAGTGGGAGGTTTAGATATCTCCCACGTGTGATTGTTAATTCTGATTGGAAATTATCCAATCAGAATTAAACTTATGGTTTAAATACTTACCTTTCCTGTTCCTCCCTGCCCTGTTGTGGTCTTTGCTTTCTAGTATTGCTACTTATCTTGTGTTTCTGGTTACGTACTCTCTGGCTTGTTTATCTGACGCTGTGACTTTCTCCTACCCTTTGACCTCGGCTCGTTTCACGTTATTCTGTCTTCTGGTTCCCCTTTACTTGGCTTGTCTCCTGACTATTCTGTGTGTGCTTAGCCCGGCCACTCTAAGGTCCGGTACGGAACCTTTTCTGTGTGTGTGTGTGTGTGTGTGTGCCAGCGTGTTGGGTTCCCCGAATCATGACATGTGTCAGTATGTGTGTGTCAGTGTGTGTGTGTGTCAGTGTGTCAGAGTGTGTGTGTGTGTCAGTATGTCTGTGTTTGTGTGTGTGTCAATATATCTGTGTGTGTGTCAGTATGTCTGTGTGTGTGTCAATTTATCTCTGTGTGTGTCAGTGTGTGTGTGTGTGTGTCAGTATGTCTCTGTGTGTGTATGTGTGTGGGTGTCAATATATCTGTGTGTGTGTCAGTATGTCTGTGTGTGTGTGTCAATTTATCTGTGTGTGTGTCAGTATGTGTGTGTGCACTGGCGTACATACCAGGGTCGCCCGGCCGCCCCTGCGACCCGGTATGTACGCCCAGGGCCAGCCTCTTCCCCTGGGGGGCCCAGGAGCCGGCCACCCCAGGGCCCCCCGAGGCTGGCCCTGCTGACCCCGGGCGGGCGGCCGGTCGGTCGGGCAGGCAGGCGGGCGCGCGAGGGAGCACTCAGTGCTTCCTCTTCAGCTCCCTCGCGCACCGCAATGATACCGGAGCCGGAAGATGACGTCATCTTCCGGCGCCGGCATCCCTACGCGGCGCGCGAGGGAGCTGAAGAGGAAGCACTGAGTGCTCCCTCGCGCGCGCCTGCCTGCCTGCCCGACCGGCCACCCGCCCAGGAGCCCCACTGGACCCCAGGGAATAATCCCCCCCAGCACTCCAAGAGGTAAGGAGGCTGGGGGGATTATATAAAAAAAAAAAAAATCATGTGTGAGTGTTAGAGTGAGTGTTAGTGTGAGTGTGTGTGAGTGAGTGTTAGTGTGAGTGTGAGTGTTAGAGTGAGTGTGAGTGTGTGTCTGCTAGTGAGTGTTAGTGTGTTAGTGTGTGTGTCTGCTCAGTGAGTGTGTTACTGTGTGTGTCTTACTGAGTGTGTGTGTGTTAGTGAGTCTGTTTGATGTCTGTTAGTGAGTGTCAATGAGAGTGTATGTTTTGTAAGTGAGTGTGTATGTATGTCTGTCGCTGACTGTGTCTCTGTCAGTAAATGTGTGTGTCTGTTAGCTAGTGTGTATGCGTCTGTTAGTGAGAGTGTGTGTCTTCAGCATTTACCTTTCTCCAGCGCCGGACTTCCTTGGCGCTGGGGATCCCTCCACCTCTCAGCTCCAAATGCCGACCGCGCACGCATTCAAACCGCCCATAGGAAAGCATTACTCAATGCTTTCCTATGGACGTTCAGTGTGCTCCTCTAGCGGCTGTCAGTGAGACAGCCACTAGAGGCTGGATTAACCCTCAGTGAAACATAGCAGTTTCTCTGAAACTGCTATGTTTTCAGCTGCAGGGTTAAAACTAGAGGGACCTGACACCCAGACAACTTCATTGAGCTGATGTGATCTGGGTGTCTGTGTAGTGCACGATGGTGCCCTGAGGGTGCCCCCACCCTCAGGGACCCCCTCCCGCCTGGCTCTGGAAAGGGGTAAAACTTACCTTTTTCCACCGCTGGGCGGAGAGCTCTCCTCCTCCGATCCTCCTCTTCTCCTCCCCGTCGGCTGTATGCGCACGCATGGCAAGAGCTGTGCACACATTCAGCCGGTCACATAGGAAAGCATTCATAATGCTTTCCTATGGACGCTGGCGTGCTCTCACTGTGAAAATCACAGTGAGAAGCACGCAAGCGCCTCTAGCGGCTGTCAATGTCTGTATGTCTGTGTGTGTATGCCAGTATGTCTGTGTATGTGTGTGTCAGTATGTCTGTGTGTATGCCAGTATGTCTGTGTGTGTGTATGTAGGTATGTCTGTGTGTGTGTGTGTGTGTGTGTGTACGTGTGTGTCAGTATGTCTGCCAGGATATATTTGTGTGTCAGTGTATGTGTGTGTCAGTATGTATCTGTGAATGTTTTAATGTCTGTCTGTGTGTATGTGCCAGTCTGTCTGTGTGTGTGTGTCAGCATGTCTTTGTGTGTCAGTATGTCTGTGTGTGTGTGTAAGTATGTCTGTGTGTGTATGTGTGTGTCAGTCAGTATATGTGTCTGTGTGTGTATGTATGTATGTCTGTGTGTGTGTCAGTATGTCTGCCAGGATATATTTGTATGTCAGTGTATGTGTGTGTCAGTATATATCTGTGAATGTTTAATGTCTGTCTGTATCAGCCATTACGTCTGTCTGTGTATATGTCAGTATGCCTGTGTGTGTGTGTATATGTCAGTATGCCTGTGTGTGTGTGTGTCAATGTGTCTGTCAGTGTATGTGTCTGTGTGTTTTAGTATATCTGTCAGTGTATGTGTTTGTGTGTGTGTCAGTATATCTGTTAATGTATGTGTCTGTATGTATGTCTGTGTGTGTGTCAGTATGTCTGCCAGTATATATTTGTGTGTAGTGACTTTGTGTGTCAGTATGTATCTGTGAATGTTTTAATGTCTGTCTGTGTGTGTATGTGCCAGTACGTCTGTCAGTGTGATTGCGGGTTGGACGTAATTGGGGGGTGAGGCAGTGGCAGGGACAGGGCCCATGGGGCCCAAGAAAATGCATTGCCCAGGGTCCTAATCATATTATAGACGGCCCTGATAGGGTCCTGGGATGAGGCACCTGTGACAGGGAGGGGTGCACTGTCACAGTAATGTCAAAATGTAATGTTTAATAAAAGTAAAAGCTTCTTAATTGTTTTGTCTCTTTTTTTGCCACCCAAGCTGATTTATATTTTTTTAGATATTTAATCATAGTTCATACCTCTGCTGATGGTTTTGGCCTGTGTTCTGATTATGATAGTGTTTCTGCCTTCCCTGAACTTTTGGCCTATCCTCTGATGAGTGCTACCGTCTGTCTCTGGCCACCTAGCTTGAAGGTGGCTTTCTGCCCATTTCACTATATCTCTTCCACCAGTGCACATACAACTACAGTACACCTCGTAGATACATAGAGGGAGATAATTCCATACTACCATTATTACATTTAGCCTATCACCCTGTAGCATTCTCCAATCCAACTAAAACATTGCTAAGTTCAACATGGCTTCTTTCCAAGAATCGTTTTTTCTATCTTTTCAGTCATTATTATAAGTTATTGGACCATATGAGAGATTATTTTCTCCCTTTGATCATCTGAACTACTATTTTTTTACATGCTGTATTGTTTTACATCAGCTATTCAATGTTGACTGTGGACACACTAAGTAGTAAAAGGGTTACGAACCCTTGAAAGTTATTTATATTCTTGCGTTACTTTGACCTAAAATGTGATCGCTCTGATTTTCATCTAAGTCTTAAAAGTAAACAAAAAGAATGTAATTGAAAAGACAACTAATTTTACTTTTTCATTTATGTATTAAACATATTCTACCAGTATTTGCTGTCTTCTCTAGAAAAAAAGGGGCAAGTATTAGGTTTAATAACTTCAATGTATAAATTTGGAGGTACTGTACTTTGACCAATGACTCTATATAGAATTCTGTCAAGTCATTAATATTTTACCATCTTGCATTATTGCAAGTATTTGGTCATACCACAATGTTTTTATTGGGGTTTGATCAGGACTGTGGCATGATTGTCCAAAAATTTCAATGATAGTGATCTAGAATAAATTGTTCCCTTGATTCTTACATGCCATATGGACTTTAAAACAGACTCACATTACACATACTAATGAGTTAAAGTCACATAGCACATACTTATGAGCTAACATGATGTTCCTTCACTGAAATGCAGTTTGTTTGGGGTTTTTTGGGGGAAGGGGGGTGATGTTTAAAACGAAATAATTGTCATTTATGTAGAAAAGTGTGTGTCTCAACCACCGTGCCGTGTCATCATCCTCAAGGTGATCTTTGGAACACTAACAGGGGCTCTCTAAGCAGAGGGTACATGTCTAAGGTCACATGGAGATGGTGATGTATATTGTCAAAACTCTAAAAATGGTGGGGTGGCACCAAAGATCTTTTGCACAATAAGCATTCCAATAAGCTAGTGGTTAAATATAGTGGTTATTATTAGTATAAGTAGGGGTCATGGTGGTTCAATTGCTCTTTAAAATGAACAGCATGCTAAGTTTCTTTCTTAGATTCATTATCTCGCCTATCATTGTTTTATATATTTAATTATTTTTTTTTGGTAACATATAGCATATATTTTTGGTATTTAGAATTCTCACTTTAGTAAATGACTCAGAAAACCTAAGGAGTTGTTAGTTAGTAACTACTATGACCCAATGATAAAAAGTTTTTACCTAATACTACATATTTTCCAAATCTGGATGAAATTATTTTGATAATATATTTTTCAAGTAATCTGAAAAAACTGTATCTGGTATTTTAAGTATGCTGATTCTCGTTTACGGACAAGTAGCAATACTAGTTCAAAAACAGAAAATGTAACTTGAATGAGCCTTAAAAAAAAATCATACTACAATACGTATTTTTGGTATGTAAGAAAGAATTTATGATATTATGGAAGAAGTGTGATCAACAATTATGTTTAGTCTGCTTCATACTCTTCAGATTGTTTCAGACTTAGTCTTTGGCATTCAACTATATTTTGCTTTCGCATGATCACCTGCTTTACAGTTTGCCCAGAATGGTTGCCACCCTGAGAACTATTCCAAATAAGATCCAAAAGATTTGTGTTAGTTTAAACACAAGTTATGCACATTGCAAAAGGTTGTGACCTATTCTTAAGTTTTAAAAGTAAGTCAGTGTCCCATTTTCCTATAGTAATGTCATAAAAACACTATGGAAAACACCTTAACGGATTTTTCTCAACACCAAGATAGAGTGAGTGTAACGGATCACCTGGCACCCCGACTGAGTATTGCTATTCATTTGGTTATTAGTTCGGCTTTTTGAATTACACAGAGTGCTGTGTCAATTCGCACAGAGTGTTATTCAAAATGCCGAATGAACGAACAAACGAAAGATTTTCGGTAAACGGCCATTCGTTTGTTCGTTCTTTAGTTTGGATACCCATTCTTTA